TCCTACCTAAAAAAATGTCCGGGGGAGAATTTCAGAATCTTCCAGGATTTTAGTCGACTACAGTGCAGCATGTAGTCAAAACACACCGGCATTTGAGCTGAGCCGTCAGCTCCGGGGCTGGTCCAGGAACCCTGATGGAAGGGGGCAGGGAGCCAGTGGGGGACGGAGCAACTGAACCCGACTCCGTCACCAGGTTGGGTTCGGTTGCTGCAGCAGATGACCTGCCCTCCACAATCAGCAGACCTGAACCCAGTCCAGATGGTTTGGGGGGAGCTGGACCGCAGAGTGAAGGCTAAATGGCCGACAAGTGCTAAGCATCTCTGGGAACTCCTTCAAGACCGTTGGAAGATCATTTCAGGTGACGGCCTCTGGAAGCTCATCAATAGAATGCCAAGAGTGAGCGAAGCAGTAATGAAAGCTAAAGGTGGCTACTTTGAAGAACCTAGAATATCAGACATATTTTCAGCTGATTCACATTTTCTTGTTAAGTATATAATTCCACGTGTTAATTCATAGTTTTGATGCCTTCAGAAAGTTCCATTATTTAATGGGGGGGGGGTTATTTTAAAGTCATTGAGAGCACAGACATTCTAAACACCTTATGACAGCACACCTGAAGAATCCACAGTAAACGTTAAAGCACAGGAAATAATAAATGGGACTTGCCTGAAAGACCTCTGACTCCATTTGTGATGATCCAGTTTGGAGATGATGCCTGTTTTTCCTGCCCACAGCACGTTGTCACAGGCGAAGTACATGGCCCTGTTGAGGTGGGCGATGGTGATGCAGAGCCTCAGCACACCGTCAGAAAGGTGGATGGCTCTCTTAGCCGCCTGCAGAGCCTCCACGGAGTTCCCCAGACGCAGCACTGTAGGCACATCAGGCACATCAGTGACAGACTTCTAGAAAGAAATCTCCCTGGATTGCTTCACTTACGCTTTCTAGTGAGGCTCATGTGAGCTTCCAGGTCACTGACTATCCTTTGGAGGTCAGAGGCAGCCCTGCTTTTGGTCAGAGTGGAGCCCAACAGCATGCAGGAGTACTGAGCAGCTCTGGAAACCAAGAGAAGCTGGGTCTCAGTAGAAAACTAGCAGAACCACAGAGCTTCTAAACATAGAACAGCTGAACATAGAACAGCTGGACATAGAACAGCTGGACACAGAACAGCTGGACACAGAACAGCTGGACATAGAACAGCTGGACACAGAACAGCTGGACACAGAACAG